GCAAAAGAATGGAAACTGGACTATGTTTTGACACCATACACAAAAATTAACTCAAAATGGATTAAAGACTTGAATATAAGACCTGAAGCAATAAAATACATAAATGAAAACATACACACTAACCTTATGGACCTTGATGTCAGAGGGGTTTTTGGGAACTTAACCCCAAGGAGAAGGGAAATAAAAGCAAAAATAAGTAAATGGGACTATATCAAAGTAAAACGCTTCTGCACAGTAAAAGAAACCATCAACAAAACACAAAGGCAGCCAACTGCATGGAAGAAGATACTTGCAAAATGATACCTCTGATAAGGCGCTAATATCCAAAATATATAAAGAACTCATACAACTCAACAACAACAACAAAAAAATCAAACAATCCAATTAAAAAATGGCAGAGGACCTGACACTTTTTCAAGAAAGACATACAGATTTGTGAAAAAAATGCTCAACATCACTAGCTAAGGGAAATGCAAATCAAAACCACATTGAGGGCCGACAGAGTGGCTCAGCTGGTTAAGAGCTTGCTCAAGAGTTTGAGCTCTGAGCAACAGCGGTTTGATTCCTGGCCCGAGCTGAACTGCCAACAGGTGGCAGGATGGCTCAGCCAAAAAAATCCCACACACACAAAAAAACCCCACAATGATACCATCTCACACCCATTAGAAGGGCTGTTCTCAGTAAGACAAAAAGCAATGTGTTGGAGAGGATGTAGAGAAAAGGGAACACTTGTGCACTGCTGGTGGGAATGTAAATTGGTGCAGCTTCTAAGGAGAACAATATGGAGGTTCCTCAATAAATTAAGCATAGAGTTACCATATAACCCAGCAATCCCTCTTCTGAGAATCTACCCTGCAAAAATTGAAAACACTTATTCATAAAGATATATGAGTATGTACCCCTATGTTCATTGCAGCATTATTTGCAATAGCCAAGGCATGGAAACAACCTAAGAGCTCCTTTAAATGGGGAGAAAATCTGTGTGTGTAAATTATACCTCAATAAACCTGATTTTTAAAACAAGCTGGGTGGTTCCCCTAAACCCCCCACCCAGATATGGTGCGCGTCCACACGCTTGTTGACCATTTTGCTGTTTATTGGTATTATGTTTTCTGACTTGTCCTCTGCCTATTTTACTTTGGTGTGAGAGAAGGGACAAGGGAGCCCCAAACAGTGGGAGCATCCCCCACCCTGCCTTTGAAAGCGTCTTGAAGGAAACCTGTCAGGATCCCCATGTCCTCAGGGCTGCACGGCCGCTGTCTACCTAGCAACCCACCAGCCTCAGAGCCTCCAGCCACAGAGGTTCCCCTTGGGATCATCCCTTGTTCTGTCTCCAGGCCAGGTCGTTGTCTGTTTCCTCTGACTGGAGCACCTTTCTTGCCTCATCTCCCCACTCTGGTGAACTCTCTCCCAAGTGCAACCTGTGCAGGCCAGGAGAGCACCCTGGCAGAGCCCCAGAGGCCTGCCTGGTGGCCTGTCTCCCTCCCTTGCTGTCAGGACTCCCTCCTGCCGTGGTCAGCAGGGCTCATGGGGCGTCCTCAGCAATGTCACCTCTGGTCCCTTCTGTACAGTGACTACTGCTCACCTAAGACCCTAGAAGAAACCAGGGGGCCAGAGAAGGAAGCAGTTGCCCAGGGTGGCCCAGCAAATTGATTGAGTTTCCTCAGTTCTCCCTAGGGTGTAACATGGAAGTAGTAACGGATGTGACTGTGTAGGGTTATTGGGGAGGGGGTTAGAAGAAGCCTAGCACAGCCCCTGGCACACAGCAATTGCTCAGTACATGCTAGTGATGATTATTACCATCACGGTCACCTCTGGTTTTCTCCATCATACTCTGAAGAGCTGGGTTTGGGGGTCAACTTTCAGCCTGGGGAAACTGAGGCACGTGTCATGTGGGGTGAAGTTTATAAAAATAAGGGTGCTGACAAAAAGTCTTGAGTCATCAAGCTTTGCCCCTCAGCACCTACCACCTGGCACTTTGCTAGCTGGCTCTCTTCTCGGAGTCACACTGCTCAGAATCTAACCTGAGCCTTTATTTTTCCTGCTTTTAGTAAGAAAGAGGCCCACGGTCCATGAAGGGGCTTCTCAGAGATAGGGAACCATTAGGAGGCCTTAGCAGCAGCCCCGATGTCTCACCCAGGGAATTTTAACCAAATGTGGGGTTTCTAGGTTGATGTGGGGCCCTCTGGGGGAGCGCCACGTGGCTCTGATACAGGGAGCCACCCCCAGCTCTGTCTGTCTTTGAAAGGCCACGCTGACCTGGCCTGTGGCTGGGTGGTGGGGCAGTTGCAGTTAATGGCTGCAGTGGGCCCAGCAGCCTCCACACCTGTGGCAGGGAGGAGCCTCAGGCACGGAGGACATGTCCTGCCAGGGCCAAGGGAGATGGCTGGACCATCTCTTGTACCAGTTTGAGACCCGCTTTCTGGGTAACTCAGCACAGGACCCTGGAGTTCGTGTCAACCTGGCAGGTGGCCACTGAGCCTGATTTAAAAATTTCATACCATTTTGGCTTCAGACTATCTTTCCTGCCATAAGAGAGCTCTAGCATCACAGGTCCAGGTTGAGGCACCTTGCTACCCTCTCCATTCCCTTCCCCCTCCGCCCTCCCCAGAGACCACTACAGTGAGATGCTCTGCAGGGTGTATGTGCAGAAACAGTATCACACTATGTGGACTGTTTTGCAGTTTGCTTTTGGGCTTAGCATGCTTTGGAGAGCTGTCCATGTTATTTCGTTTAGTCCTAATTTATTATAACTGCATAGTATACCATGCTATGCGTATGCCACATTTTCCTAATCTATCCCTCTGATGAATGCCTGGCTATTTTCAGTTTATCGCTATGACAAGCCATGCTGCAATAAACAGCTCTCCATCCAGGCATGGGTTTCTAGGATACAAACCTGGAAGGGAAACAATGTAGCCATAGGGCGCACAATTTCCTACTTACTGGATACTGCAGACTTTCCCTCCAATGGTTATTAAGAGTCTCCTGATTGTTTTCTGAACTGCAATGGTGCTTCCCCTCACAGTGGTCTCTAACTCACTGGAAATTATTATTTTGCTAATGGTTGGCATTGGGGCCCAATTCATTGTTTTTTTATGTGGAAAATGAGTAGTCCCTGTGCCATTTGTGGGGAACTGCCTTCCCCCAATGATGCTGGTCACCTTCCCATTACACCTGGGCACTGTTCCTGGGGCCTGGAGGCGCTGGATTAAAAAAAATAATAACAGCTTTACTGAGATGTAACTCACATGCTGTACAATGGACCCTTTTAAAGTACATAATCCAATGGTTTTTTAGTATTTTACAGAGTTGTGCAACCATCACCTTGATCAATTTATAACATTTTTATCACTCCAGAAAGGAATCTGGTACTCATTAGCAGTCACTCCCAATACCCACCCCTCAAACTTTCCCCAGCCCCTGGCAATTACTAATCTCTTTCTGTCTCTATGGATTTGCCTATTCTGGGCATTTCATATAAATTGAATCATATACTGATGGAAACATATACCTTTTGTGTCTAGCTTCTTTCACTTAGCATAATGTTTTCAAGGTTCACATTCATACATGTAGCATGAATCGGTATTTCACTCCTTTTTATGGCTGAATAATATTTCACTGTGTAGATAGACCATATTTTGTTTATCTAGTCATCCGTTGATGGGCATTTAGGTTGTTCCTACCTTTTGTTTATTGTGAATATAGCTACTATTTACATTCATGTACAAGTTTTTGTGTGGACATGTGTTTTCAGTTCTCTTGGGTTATATACCGAGGAGTGGAATCGCTGGATTATACAGTAACTCCACGCTTAACCTTTTGAGTAACCGCCAGACTGTTTTCCATAGCGTCTGCATAGTTTTTGTCATCTTTTTCTAAGTGACAGAAATATGATAGTGGCAAGTAGGAATAGTGGCCCTAGAGTTGTGCCATGTAGCAGCACTGGCTTCCTTGTGGTGTCAAGACATCCCCATGGCCTCTGTCACCTGGGCCTCCTCACTGTCCCTCAGACCAGGCCCATCCCTGCTTCTGCATCTTAACTCCTCTGTCCTCTGACTGAACAGCAACACTTCCTTTCTGCTGAGCCAAATTCCCCCGCAAGTCCCACCTTTCAGGAGAGTCTCACTGTGAATGCAGACTACAGTATTTCCCTGAAAATAAGACCTAACCAGAAAGTAATACTTTTTTTTCCAGGATGCTCGTAATATAAGCCCTACCCCAAATATAAGCCCCAGTTAAGATCGTCAGCCAGACATGACTATTTGAATAAATGTAGATTTTTGTACATGAGTAAATGAATAAATGTAGATTGTTGGAGCAAAAATTAATATAAGACCTGGTCTTATTTTCGGGGAAACACGGTAATACCCATCTGTTGTTTGTGGAAGGCCCAAATCAGTGACGGTGGTCACCGTGACAGCTGCTACATCCCTACCCAAAGGGCCACCAGCTCCTGCCTGCCCCTCAGAGCTAGGGTCACAGCCTGTCCTGGCAGGGGTTCACGACTCGGGGGCCCAGGTTGCCTTGTGTTGCCCCTAAGTTAGTGTCTCCCCCGACCGCCACCATGAGCCCTTGCTGTCAGGGCTGGGTGAACCCTTGTGTGCACGTGTGGCACCAGCACAGGGCTGGGCACGTGGAGAGCACCAGGTCTTGGGGAGTTCCTTCACAGGACCTCTCAGTCTCTTGAGGTGGGCCTTCCTCCTTCTGCAACCTGCTCGGGGCCCCTCCTGGGCCCCGTGAATGGGGGGTCAGCAGGCCTCTCGATCTGTGAGGCCTGGGAAACCACTCAACTTCTATGGACATCAGTTTCCTTATCTGTGAAATGGGGCTGTCCAGGCTTAACCCACGGAATTGCCAAAGGAGCACAGAAGGTAATGTGGCCTGTGGGCAGAGACCTTTCTCAGTGCTCGCCATACAGACTACTGATCTTGTCACACGGAACTCCTGTCCCCTGAGGTGAGGGGAGAAAAAGGTGGCCGGCCTGGCCGCACACTCACGTTTTCACGTAGGGGTCCGAGTAGCCGTTGGCGTCCATGGCAGCCAGGTGTGCACACCGCACGATGCCGACCAGCAGGCCCTGCTTCTGTGAGCTGTACTTGAGGGAGATGAGGATGCGGCCCCGCTCCTCCAGGGACTTGTCTTCCGTCTTGTCCACCTGTGGGGTGGGTGGTTACTAGGCCGTCCTCACCTGCTCTCATCCCCACCCTCAGCCATGGGCCACCAAGGCGGTCCATGGGCCCAGGACAAAAGGAGCCCATGGATGGTGAGGGGTCACCCTGGCCCCAGCCCCGCTACAGGCACTTCCTGGAGCCTCTCGGGGTATAGGTGGCAGCCCCTTGGGGGAAACATTGAAGGCAAGAGCTTTGACACATCCCCATCCCCAAGGGGAGCTGGGAGGCAGATGGGGGCTGCCCAGATATCTCCTGTGCCCACCTCTGGGGTCAGACCTCAACTTTCCCCACCCCAGCCAGCCTGGTGCTTCTCTATTCCTCGCCCTCTTGAGATCACCCATTTCCACATTCTGGCTGCTGCTCATGCGGACCCCTCAGCTTTACCCTCCGTCTACCCAGACACACGCAGCTCGAGTCCCATGACCCTCAAGGGTCCTCCCTTAGGCCTCTCTGCCAGATTTCTCTCACACATGGTCTCAGCCATGTCCCTTTGCCCATGACTACTCTCTGCCTGTTGCTAAAGTGATGCCCCACATGGCCCCTCAGAGGCAGGGCCATACCTATACCTCCCTGGAGATGGGGCTCCTGTGAAGGAAGGACTGTTTCCCTCAACTCCCCTGCCCAGAGCAGACATGGCTAATTGATCACAGCATCCACCCTGAGCGCCAATGCAGCCTCAGCCTTGTTTTCAACACATTGCTCAGGCAGCCATCGCCAATGGACCAGACCAGGTGTATGAAAGTTAACTGTCTGCCACTCTGGCCTACGGCGTCACTCAATCATGGCTCTTGTGCTAGTTTGTGTGATGTGTGAAAATGAAACAATATAAATGAGCAGGGATATTTTCAGCTGTTTTTAAGGGGGGGCATATTGTCCTTTGGGTTGCTTCATATACAAACCATTAAACTGGGAATCATTCAGTATTTACTGAGAACAAATAAGTTCTCAGGCTATGTAAAGTCTAAAATGTACCATCAAAATATGTCTTTACTGCCAGTGCTGTCAATGCCCAACTATGGTCACCCTGTGTCCCTGAAACCAGACCAATGAGCTCCTGGCAAATTCAAGCAAAACTCAGCAACATCTTGATCAGCCCCGTGCACAGGCATATGCACTCTCTTACCCGTCCACGTGCACAAACACACACTCAAATGCGCCCACACATGCATGCTCGTTCACACACAGATACACGTTTACTCACATACGCAATGCTCTCACACAATGCACACGCACACGCACACACACACACACACACACATACACATGCAGGCTCCCACCCCCACACAATTGCTTATTTATGCCAGGGATCAAAACTCAGGAACTCAACTATAGTAGGAGTTGTTACCTTCTATAAGTGACATAGATCATTTGGAAAAACTGGGTTACCTGTGGTTAGTGACTAATAATAAAATAAAGAAGCTCATATCCATCATGCAGATGTCTACGAGTGGGAGAGAACATGACAAGGATATAAAATTTGATCAAGTTATGCAAGAAGACAGAGCTGGGACTCTGGCAGGGAGCTCTAGCCTCAGGTCGACGCGTTCCCAGGGCTTGACCAAAGCCAGGCTGCTCTGAGCCTTTGTCCCAGGGCGCAGGCCCAGCCAGCCGGTGGGCATATGGGGGACAGCCCCTGGGCTCTGTCCTCTTAAGCTTTCCTCTTGCCCCAGGCTTCTTGGGGAAAAATGTCTTGGGAAGGAGACTGTGTCCTGAACACCAGGCTGCCAGAGGGTCAAGATTTCTCAGGCCCCCTGGGGCCTGCTGGTCAAACCCTCCCAGCCCTTCTGAACTGGGTGAAGGTGAGGCCTCTAACAGAGGAGACAGAGCTGAGAGACGAATGGACATAGACTCTGGGAGGGCTCAGCTGCTGCAGATGGCCAGGGGCAAAATCAGTTTTGACATCATTTTCAAACAATTGCAATTTCTAGGAAAGAATTATTTTCTGTCTCCTGTGGGTATCTCACAAGCACCTCATGCCTAGCATGTTCCAGTCGAGCTCGTGTGTCCCCAGCTGCTCCTCCCGAGGCCCCCTACATCACAGCTAATGACCCTTTATCCTTCTAAGTGCTCGCCCCCTCCCCCCAAGCCCCATGAAGATCTGCCAGCACACTCATCCAGGACTCAGCACTCCCCCCCCCCCACAGCCCAGGCCTGGGTCATGCTCATCTCCTCACTGCTCTCCCCACCTTCCGCCTCCTCCCTCTCCCATTCTGAGCCTGTTAAAATGTAATCAGATGCCCTAGGCCCTGCCTAGCACCCTCCCGTGGCCCATCAGGGTGAAGGCCTGAGTCCTTCCCAGCTCCCCCATCTCCCAACCTCTGTTCTCAGCTCCTAGGACTCCCCTCCCCTCTTTCTCTCTGCCCCACTCAGTGGGCTTCTTGCCTGTGCCTCCAACAGGCTGGGCACGTTTCACACAGGGCTTTTTGCACCTGCCGTTCCCTCTGCCCAGAATATTCCTGCTTGCCTGGTGAGCCCTTCCCTGAGCACGCATCTAAACCGTCGACCCCTCTTCATGCTCTCTTGCTTGGCCTTGATCATTGTTTAACATATGATCCGTTTGGGGGGACTTATCCCGTTTTGGGCCTGTCTCCTGCTCAAGCTCCTTGTGGGCAGGGATTTTTGTCTGTCTCCCAGCACCTGCCCCTGTGCCAGGCACATAGTAGGTGCTTCCTAAAGGCTGCTGGTCCTGAGCTCATGCCAGGGAGGGTCCCTGATGTCCTGTAGAGTCCCGTGGCCCACTCACCGGAAGCTGCTTCTCCAGGCAGATGCTGAACGTCTTGGTGTGGTTGGGTTTCAGCTTCTTCAGGGGCACTCTCGTCTCCCCAATGAACTCATTGTGACGGAATTTGTCCTCGTCACACACGGAGATCCTGGAGGGCAAGGGCAAGGCCAGCTCTTCAGACGCACCTGGGCGCTTTCACTTTGCTTCCAAAGAGGATTTGCAAACAATGGGTGGGGAGTGGGTAGGCAGGGCCAGCCCCTGAGGATAATAAGGCTGGGGTGGGGCTGGGGGTGGGGTGGGGGAGAAGCCTGTGGCCCTGGGGCCTTCACCCACCGCAGGGTCTTTCGGATCATGTCTTCATCTGTGATCCCGTAGTAAGTGAGGGTCTCATTCCACGTGGGGTTCAGGGTGTTTCGGAGAGTTTTTGTTCTGAGCTTATTTGCCTGGAGTGCACACAAAAAAAACCGATCCTATGAGCATCCAGGAGTGAGGGAGACAGGATAATGGCCTCAAAGATGGCCATGCCCTCATTGCCCTGAACCCGTGAATATGTTCTCTTCCCTGGCAAAGGGGAATTAAGGTTGTTAATCGGCTGACTTTAAAACAGGGAGATTATCTGGATGATCTGGGTGGGCCCTATGTAATCACAGGGTCCTTGAAAGGAAGAGGGAGGCAGGAGAGGAGAGTCAGATGGGGATGTGAGGAGGGAAGACAGGCAGAGAGAGGCAACATTGCTGGCTCTGAAGACAGAGAAGGGGCGGCCTCTAGAAACGGAAAGGGATGGGATGTGGCTTCTGCCTAGAGTCCCCAGAAGAGACCACAGCCCTGTGACATGTGGCTTTAGCCCAGTGGGACCTATGTCGAACTTCTAACCTGAAAGATAAGAAATTCACGTTGTTGTAAGCCATTAAATTGGTTGTAAAATGTTTGCTAGGAAACTAAAGGGAGGATTCTTGCCTCCAGGCCGTGTGTGTGTGTGTGTGTGTGTGTGTGTGTGTGTGTGTGTGGTGTGTGTATGTGCGCGGGCGTTGGGTTCTCCAGGAGGCTGGGGGAGGGCGGTGCTGGGCAGCTGGGAAGCCCAGCTGTGGGTCTAGATTCTCTCTCTCACACCCCCTTGCCTGTCCCCTCTGCCTATAATGCCACCTGTCCTACAGAATGCCTGTGGGGTGGCCTGTCCAAACTGCCATGTCACCTCGACTCCTCTCTCTGTGCTTCTGTCCATCTTGGTTCTTACACGCCTTAGCTGTCTGACAACAGCCTCTGAGCCCCGTATCTGAGTCCCTTAGATGTCTGCCGCACTTGGCCTAGGCTGAGGTCAGGTAGGCCTGGGTTCAAATCCCAGCTCCACCACTTAGATAAGCTCAGTGGAACTCAGTGGGTTATTTACCCTCTGTGAGTGTCAGGCTCCCCACTGTAAGAAGGGTGTAATAATACCTCTTTTCCAGCATTGCTTTTAGGAACCGTCTTTATTGGGATACTTCTTTTTAAAACGCTGCCCTCTGTGGGAAATCCTGTGGAGGGTGCTGCTGGTTCTAGGTCCCAGGAGTCTAGGGACTATGGTCATTAAGCTCCCAAGTTGAGCACATTCCCCTGGTCACAGGGCCCTCGGCCCTCCTAGCCCTGGGAGTCCCACCTGTAGCATGAGGGTGTGGAGGCCTGGAGTGGGGAACTCACTGCCCAGGTGGTGGGCCACTGCCGTGTCTCCGATAGCCCTGCCTTCCCCGAGAGGGTGGAATGGCCCCTTCTGGATGTCTCTCCTGGATGGTGGTGGGCCTCAGCCCTGCACCCTGGTCCAGAGGGTTTGGGCCTCAGAGTCAACGCAGGCCCCAGCAGCCTGTGGCCACTCAGCTGGGGGCAGGACTGCCTAGCTGGCCCGGAATAGTCCCACCAGAGGCCAGTGTGGCCCTCTTCTTACAGGGCACGCCCATGACTGAGTCTTCCTCCTTCTCAGGCCACTTGAGGACCAGGAAGGAGTTCTCCAAGTCTTGGCTTTGGAGAAAGAGGCCAGGACAAGGACACTGGCCACTGAACTCTGCTGCTCAGGCCTCTATGTCCCATGTCCCCGTGCCTCCCCCAGGTCTCCACTCGGAAGCAAAGCTGCTGGTCTCCCGTTGAGTCACCCCTGGCATGGGGTCTGCACAGCCTGCCCCTTGAGATGTCTGTGAGGGCCAAGGCAAGTCCCAGCTCTGAAAAAATGATGTGACCTTCCCTCCCATGAAATTAAAAATAAAACAACACTGAACTGTAAGACACATGTAAAGAAGTCTAACCAAATTTTGATCTTCCAGTGCTGAGGGTCACCTTGATGCTTTTGTTTCATAGCACATTTTTGCTAATTTTTTTTTTCCTCTCCTTTCCTAGATGCACCACGTGCTTGGTCTGCTTGTTGGGTCACCTGGCATGGGAACAAGAGTTCTATGGTCAAAAAAATTGAGCAGATGTTGCCCACTCCATCCCCCTTGTGGAGCATCACAGAGCAGCCCATCAACACATTCAAGGCTCTGATAAGTCCTGCAGTAAAGAAACCTGTTTAACAATGTGTCCCAATGTTATTTGACCACAGAAACTTTTTTTTTTTTGCATATAATATTAACCTCCAGCTAAAACTGCTTCTTAGAAAATGCTTCCCTGGAAATTCTCTGGAAGGTTTTCTCAACTCAGCAGGCAGGTAGTGCTGACTTGAAGTTCCTGGGAGGCCTGAAGGGTGTGGGTCTGGAGGTCTGACTGGGTACTTAGGGTGGAAGTACATGGCTGAGGTTCCCTGCCTGGGCTCTGAGAGGGTGTAGGAGCTATGGGCCTCCCTGGGTGCCCCAAGCCCAGCCTAGGCCCTGTCACAGCATGCAGGCCTAGGGCAGAGCCTCACCTTACTGGCTCCTGGCAACAGATGCAGCTTGACATAGGGGTCTGCCAGTCCATTGTGGTCCATCGGCTTCAGGCCCTGAGCAGAGAATAGCAAAGGGTGTGAATTGGGGATTGGGGACAGAGAGAGGTCAGGGCCTCGGGGCACCTGGGGCAGCAGGCATCCCTCATCCCCTGGGCTGCCTGGCTGGGTCCACTCATGACCCTCTTCACAGAAGCTCCCTGACCCCACACTCTAAGGATGGGAGAGTGAGGATGGCTCAGTGCTGGCACCATCTCCCCTCCTCTAAATGCCCCGCCCCAGGGTGGACGTCATGGGCGTCTTTATCAGAGCAGCCTTTCTCTATCTATTCTCCTTATCATGGAGGCCAGGTGACTCACCTTTCTCTGAATGAGGCCCTCATTATCCTGCTTGGTCCCGATTTCCTTCCTTCTTCCTGATTCCCCTCCCCTACTCTCCAAACATGGGGCTTTCCCCCTCACTGACCCTAAATCCACAGGACTCTCTGTCTACTCATCCACACGCTTTCCTCTGTGGCTGTGGAAAAATGTTCTATGACCTGGAGACCAGGCTCACTTTCTCTCTTGATTTGCCACAGCTCCCTGCTTGTCCGTGTCCACGGAGGCCACAGAGCTGGCTGGCCACGGAGGGTCCCTCCACAAGATGGCATCCCTCACTCACTCGCAACAATCGGTCAAGTGTGCACAGCCAGGCAATCAGTGGAACTGTCAACAGACAGGGCTCAGCCGACCCTATGCTGGCTCTTGTTTCTGAAAATTTAATTTTTTTTCTTCTGGGATGGTGCACAGGGATGTAGGGAGGCAGCTGTGGGGTGTGTGGGCCGAGCTGGCAACCCCATGACATCATCCAGAGATAAACTGCAAGTCGGCGGCTCATTACCATGCCCACCTCCAAGGGGAGCTGAGGCTCTTCTGCCACCCTACCCCCACCTTGGTTTAAAGGTGGGGGCTTCCAATCGCCGGCTGTTCTGCTTCCGGGAAGGGGCACACAGGTTTTAGAGCCAGGCCTGGGTTCGGATGTCAGCTCCTGCACTTATTATAGTAGCTGGGTGAGAGGATGAACTCCTTTGCCTCCTGAGCCTCAGCTTTATCGTCTATAAAAGGGGTTAATAGTTCCCACTTCCCAGGGTTGGAGTGAGGTTATCCGTCCTCCAGGATAATGCTGACAAAGGGGTTTGCTCCCCTTTCCCTACATGCTAGCCCCCTGGGAAGATGCCAGAGAAGTGGCTGGGGGCCAGCGTGGGCAAATGAGCCCTGCTCCGTGAGGCTGGCTCTGGGACGAGGCTCAGTTCGGAGGCCCTGTATGCACCACAGCAACGCGGCGGCCCTTCTGAATGCAAGGCCCTCATCCTGGCCTCTCGTCTGCCCCCATAAGGCGCTCAGGACTGGGAGTCTGCCAGTTTTCTTAGTTCCTCTGTGAATGTGAGTGGCCGCGTGTCCATGTGATGTAGGTGGGGGTGGGCACCTGCCACCGTCCTCCAGGATACAGGAGGTACTGAGCACTACTTAATCATTTAATGCTCACAACCCCCACATGGGTGGGGATGATTAACACGACTTTTAGATGAGCAAACTGAGGCTGCTCTGCTGACCCAGGGGGAGGGTGGCCAAGCTAGGGTTTAGCACTGGGGCATCTGGCCTCCTCCCAGAGTCCCCTGAGGGGCTCTGCTTGTCAGCCTCCTCCCTCAGCCTCCTCGCCCGCTGGACCTCCTCCCCACACCCCAGCCCTCCACCCCAGCCCTCCTCCCACACCCCAGCCCAGCGCCCCTGCTGCTTCCATGCCTGTACCACCCCATCCCCTGCAGAACTGGATCTAAGCAGAGAATGACCTAGAGCTGGGGTCGGCAAACTGAGGCTCGCGAGCCACATGCGGCTCTTTGGGTACATTCCGTTTCAAAAGTTTGCCAACCCCTGGAAGAGCCAATCCTGTCCCTCACAACAATTTAAAAATTATTCAAGAGCCATAAATATATTTTTACAAATAAGGACAATTTAAAGTAATATTGTAAATGAAACTTAGATAGTTTTATTTTCATTTTCAATTTTACTTCAGAGCAACATGCACGTACCCAAAGAGCCACACGTAGCTAGAGAGCTGCAGTTTGCTGACCCCTGGCGGCTCTTCTGTCTCAAAAGTTTGCTGACCCCTGACCCAGAGAATCAGGGAATCGCCATGGCTCGGGTCCTCCCACCCCCACCTCCAATGCTTTGAGTGACACACCTCTAAATGAACACACACATGCGCACACACAGGTGCCCACAGAGACCTGTGCATGCCCACACAAGTACATACCCCAGTATACCCTTATAGCCCCTCTGGGGCTCAGGTAGGGAAGGTGGGGCACACAGTACAGGAGGGTCTGGTGTCTGGAATGGGGAGGAGAAGGGATGGCTCTGGCCAGAGTGGCCTGGCAGCCAATGCCCAGTCCCAGTTCCCAAGCCTGGACAACCTGTATAAAGCTGGATGGAGAAGGAAAGGGATCTCACTGTTAGGGATTTGCAGTCTGCCCTCACCTTGGCATAGCTGGGGGGGGTCACTGGATTCCCAGTTTTGTACCTGGGGCAGGTCTGAAGCCCCTGCCACACGAGGTGGGGCAGGCCCTGCATCACCACCCGAGCAGCTCCCAGAGGACAGGGCAGGGGATGGAGTGTGTGGGCCTCTAGGTGCCCAACTTGGGCCCTGGGCCCAACATGGATGCTACTCACCACTGCCATGGCAGTCCAGGTGTGGTGGCCCAAGTTGGGTGGGGCAGCAGCGGGTAGCCTGTCCCTCTGCGTGGGCAGAGCCACGGGCAGGGTAGGAGGGAGGGGCAGGGAAGCTCGCAGGTTGGGGGCCTGGAGAGGAGCCTGGGCCCAGGGAGCTCTGCTGGAAGCTCCTGGCTTGGAGCCGAGCCCAGGCCCTTCCATGACTCTACTGGGAGGTTCTATTAGGCTGCACTGCCGCCCTTACCTTCCGAGAGAACATCAACGTTGGCGCCTTCCTCCCAGAGGGAGCGATGTGTGGGGAGATGAAGGGAACAACATGGCTGAGAACACAGAGCTGACGCATGCCAGCCCGAGGGGCAGGGCCACGCACATCCCGGACTGAGAGCAAGGCTCAGGCCCTGAGTCCAAGAGACTAACCCCCTGCCTGGAGTGGTCTCAGTGTCCAGAGTGGGGCAGTGGCGCCTGCCCACCCTTCCCTCCCTCAACAGCCCCATCCCAGCTCTGGGGGCCTCCTGTCCCTTGAAAGCCCCACCCAGGCCTTCATCCTCTCATTTTCCTCCCCTTTCTTTGTGCTGCTCTTTCCCCAAATACCTCCCTCTGCAGACATTTTGGGGCAGCTGAGATGACTGAGGCAAGATTCCTCTCCCTGCTCTGCACCCACACAGCACAGACACCACCAAGCCTGGACAGGAAACAGGGGGGGGAAACTGGCCTTCCCACCTCAGCCCCTCCCCCAGGACCCTGGGCCTGGGGACCGTAGGAGCCCGGGGGCCTACCTTGGCCTTGCTGATGGTGCAGTGGAGGGCATTGTTCTCTTGGTCATAGAGAAGGCTGAAGTCCAGCGTGCCCAGGGCGGCTGCGGACAAAGGATGGCTCAGGTCACTCATCAGCTGCATGGTGGAGAAGTGTCACCCACCCCTGTGAGGTCATATGAGGTGCTAGTACCCACGGTGACTGCCACCGATTGGGCACCTACTACACGCCAATCCCTCCATCCAGTCTCCTAGCCCTGCCAACCCTGGGAAGTGAGCAATATCCTCCCCACTTTCTAGATGAAGAGCTGAGGCTCCGAGAGGCTAGGTCAGTCACCCCCCAGTCACTGTGAGTGGAGGCCCAGGAGTCAAACCCAGGTGGTCAGCCCCACAGCCCAGCTAACTCCTGTGCTGTGGTGCCCACGTGTACTGGGCCCTCAGCTAAAGGAGTTCCTGTTCTCCTACCCTCCTTGTGCAATTGCCAGTCTGGGCTCCAGCCTTAGTTTCCCTCGCGCATTAAATGTCACAAAGATTGTGTGAGAAGGCCGTGGAGACAGGGCTTCGCAAGGCTGCAGGCCCTGGCCGGGCCGACTAGCTGATCCACTTACCCACCTCCCAGCAGTACTCAGGGTATAGCTCCCTGGTCTCTCGGATCCCCTCGGGGTCTGGGCAGGCTTCAAGGAGCCAGCTGGGTCCTTCATGGTGCTACCCCAAGCCTCTTAAAGGCAGCGGGCGATTCCCAAGGGCTGGGCAGAGAGCGCAGCAATAATTGGGTGCAGCTGCCACCCTTGGGGGCAATCCCACATGGCAGCTGTGGCCTCCCTTGTCGACGTGGCTCCTGGCATGAAGGCAGGAGTTGTGGTGGGGGCAGACCTCAGAGACAAGTCTCTGGACAGCAAAGTGTATATTCACAGGATGTCTTTAGAAGCCCAGATCCTGCTCGCAGGCTGTTGGGCTGGTCAACTGGCATCTCATTCATTCATTCCTTACCAAGTGTTTACAATGTGCCAGATTCGAGGAATGAAGATAAGGCAGGGTTCCTGCCCCAAAGAAAGCACAGCTTAATGGGAGGAACAGATGAAAAGAATTTGCCACAACAGTTTGGTGGGCCAGGAGCAATGGGAGGTGCATAGTCTTGATGTGAACTGGGGCCATCAGGGAAGGCTTCCTGGAGGAGGTGATGCTTTACGTTAACCATGAAGGATGAGTAGGAGTTGGCCAGTGCACAGTGGGGCTGGGGAAGGGGCATTCCAACTACAGGCCAACCAGAGGGTGGAGGGCTGAGTGGCTGGAGTGATGCTGCGGGAGGGTGGGGCTCTATTCTTCTGGCCAGGGGCACCCAAACTATGGCCTGCTGGTCAAGTCTGGCCAGCCCTATCCATTTGCCTCTGAACCACAGACGCTTTTGCACTATATAACAATGGCCGAGCTGAGCGGATGCCACAGGGACCTTGCAGCCTACAGATCCCTGGGCTTGTACAAGGGCCCAGGCCTGGCAAAGTTTTGGGGCTGCGGGCTGCAGAGAATTGGGCAATTAAGGCCTGTGTATGTGCATTCTGAGGTGCTGGTGCTGAATCAGGTATGTCTTGCTCCCCAGCTCCTAACACAGGGGAAGGCACACAGCTCAGCATCTCTGTCCTTTCCTGGAGGCAAAACTGGGGAGCGAGATCCGTCCTCTGATGTCTGACCCCGGGTTCAAATCCTGACTCTGCGCTTCCTTGCTGTGTGGTGGCAGGCAGCTTATCTAGCCTCTCTGTGCCTCAGTTTCCTCATCTGCAAGATGGCGATGAAATAGTAACCACCTCACAGCATCGAGCTTTAACACAGCACCTGGGATAGAGAAGTGCTCGGTAGATAATTATAGAAGGAGCAGCTCCATTTAGGTGACTTTTCTAGGTAATTGTACTTGCCCCTTTGAGACGCTTTCTGGAATGAACTTGTTCCAAACTGGATCACTCCCCTCCGAGGCTTTGTGAGTAGAGCATATAACTGGTCACTTACACTTTTCAGAATAACCTGAGTCATTGCTATGACGATTACTACGATTACTGTATACGATGAGTACTGTTCTGTGTCGCAGTCATAGCCCAGACATGGAAGGGGGCGTGACACAATTCCGCCACCAAGTGACCCCAGGTGGCCACGATTTTTGAGAGGTTTTTCTCCTTTCTCTGCCTCCAGCTTTGCCACCAGCTTGAAACTCCTGTTAAACTACTTGCATCTGGTAGCAACAAACAGCTCTCCCTCCTATTCAACAGTTATTTGTTTCTTTTATGAAACCAGGTGAGAATACTTGTTAGAATTGTGTCTAAACTAAGAGTCAATAGGCCTTGAGTGGAGGCTAAGGGACTTTTTCCTGACTGGACTGTGTGCTTTTGTGCTAACTGTATCTGGCTTTTTGCTGCCTGTATTCTAGCTCCTATCTCTGCAGGAGGGCAGGTGAGGGTGCTGTGAGGTATACATCTAACTAACTAAGCCGTGGGCCCAACATTCTCCAGGTCCATACTTTTGTAATAATATTCTCCAAACCTGCTGACTTCACAGAACAGTCGAACCGTCTGCTGCTCAGTTCGAGCCTCCCTGTGGTTTGTTCCCCCCAGACTTTATCCTCCTGAAGGCAGGAACCATGTCTCGGCTACGCCTGGGACACCAGCAAAGAGCAGATGTTCAAGCCACATGGCTGGTCCATTCAAAGCAGCTCGCTCTCCAGCTGCTCTTTGGTGTGTGGCCCGCCTGTTAAAACGCACACTCCATGATCTCTGCCTGTTTCCCGATCCCAGAGAAGGACAAGCCAGTAAAATGAAGGGGCCACCTGCTCTCCACTGGGAAATAGCACCAGGAGGAGAGGGGAGCCCCTCCCACGGGCTCTCCAGACATCCCAGTTTATGGAGGACCCCATGCTGCTCAGTGGAACTGACACCTGTTATCACTTCCCAGGAAGGAACAACACACCTAGTACCGCCCCAGGATGAAAAGGATGAATTTCTTTGAAACCCAAGGGAAGTTTTGTAAGAAATACTAGTTTATAAATACAAGTTCAGTCACCATTTTTTGAGGCTTGCCAGCGGTGGAGCTCTCGTAGGGAGCTTCTAGTCCAAAGTCTTCATTCCCATTTGGAGAAATGAGACTCAGAGAGGGGAAGTGACCTGGTCAGGGTGGCACAGAGCTGGCCACAGAATCTAGGCCTCTTCACTTCCATCCTGATAGTTCCTGCCTTAAAGCCTCGTGGCCTCCA